ACCTGCCTGTGTAATCATATTCTCACTGGTTATTCCTGTTTTATACTGCTGTGAATAATATCATAATCTAATTGGTTGTCCTTTTTATATTACTGTCTGTGCTATTACGACCATATTACTGTAAATATAGATATTAAATATTGTGTGACTGAGCTTGATTGAAATGTTTTGAGTAACAGCTTACGTGGTACTGCCTGAAATATGCCCATTACACCTACAACCCTTGGTTTTCCTGTCATTCTGAGTTACCGTTTCTAGTGAATATTAAATGTGAGTATTGAAATGATAATTCAATTACGAAAACACACACCATCTTTTTATATGCATTAGTTCTGTTAATTTCATCACATTTATTCTGATCCATCATCCTGGTCGAGTTTTCTCGGTAATACTTCCTTATTGAGTTATCTACTCTTTAATGGTTGTGTCGAAGTCTTGTGAAGTATCTTCAGTGGAGGGGTCTCAAATACAGCTAGCATAGAATCCTGAAAAACTTGGTTGACAGCGCAGTTACCAGAGCCATATCTATACTTTTGTGTTTCTTCCAGTTCTTGGCTCGTTTTGAAGACGTTGGGAGTGGGGGGGGGGAAGGGGGTTACTGCTTTCACGAAAAAAGTTTTCATCGGATCTGTAGCATTCGTTAACACAGGTGTAATGATGCTGGTGACATCAGAGGCACAGTTCTTCACCACGTCATGTGCGTAGATATAATCTAGAAATGATATTGCTTAATTCAAAGGAACAACACATTGTGTAAAAAATGAACATCCAGTGGGAGTGCGGTTCGCTACACCCTTTTTAATATGTAGAACTTAAATCAGTACACACTTTATGATACAACTATCATACTTGTCATACTACATGCTTTCATCCAACATGTATGAGCAATCTGGCCATCGACATTTATGAGGTGGGTCAACCATAGCGTTGATGATCTGACTTGACGATGTAACAGTAAAACACAAAGATAACAGGGAATCGAACAAACTGTTAGAAAACTACAAAATTATATGCCAAAACTAGCTAAATCGAATCGAAATACCCTCAACAACCTCGTGCACATTCGTGCAGTAGGCAATGAGCTATACCTTTTTTGTGTTTCAGGACTAATGATACTACATGGATGCCCAAACCTTGGTAGATGAAGTGGTGTTCGAATCCATTACCCATTGTTCGAAATTCGATTGTTTCAACCCATAACTCATAGCTCCGCAGTCAGAAGAGTAGACCAACTGGAAGTAGCTTGTCCCTTGCAACACGACAGGTGTTACAAACACGCGACAAAAAATACTTTCCTAGTTTGAATACACAATTCTGTGTAGTGAGCGGGGAGAAGGTACATGTTGCTTTAAAACAACCTCATATGATCACATGAATCGGTTAAATCTTTCTGTCAGATGAGTGTAAAAAATAATAGTAACTGCAAAACAATGAAAATCCGGATGCTAAACAATCAATGCCGTACAAATAAGTGGAAACGTCCCCAAATCACTATGGTTATGTGGTTCATGTTGCTGTCTCACTTTCTGAATTAGATCACTGGATTACAAAATACGCAGAACGATTCATAGAATCAGTCAATTGTGTAGTTAAGTACCTGTTTAGTGTAACAGGATGCATAAACCGTGGTCAGAAGTGTAAAAGTGACAAGAATTCACGTCACATTCTCGCAGACATCAATACGCCTTACCCTTGCAAATAATTCCACATAGAGCTATTTTTATCTTCTCACAACATATCATTGATATCTGCAAGTTACCAGCTATTAAATGAATATCTTTGCTTATCTGAGTTGTTTCTAGCTTTTATGTAATCAACTGTGCTTCTAAACTAGCCTACAACTGACATAAACTATGATTGGCTTCAAAAACCACCTCAGCAACGAATAAAATAACCATTTAGGCTTCTTTACTTCAACTGAAAAGGTATCTTTTCATGATGTACAAAACCCTAATTGGTTATCTTAGTAGTTGTTCAAGCGATCTCAAAGATTACTCTTTATAGAAACAAGTGGGATGATAGACAAAATGACAAAAGACTAGGCAACCACGTGTCCTTTTCACACTAGACAATGCTACATCTACACAACAACACCACCTGACTATCCAAACCTCAGTAGACGCAGTATAGTTCAAGAGCATAACCCATTAGGGGTCTAATCTAATGGATTACAGCTCTGTTACAGGTAAGTTTAGTAATAACACTGGACAAGTTAACTTATGGTGCAACTCAAAATCACATAACAATGGCAATAAAAGTCCTACTTGATGATAATAAGAACACTAGGGGCGTCCCTATCTGCTCATCATTATCTCTATAGCATTTTGGGTATGTGTTTTTAACACCACTATATAATATATTTTATGAAAACTTAGGATCATTATGCTCTAAGTGAAGTCATCTTGTGAAACTAGCTTTCGTAAGTTGAAAATAATACCTGAACATTTACATCATTTTCAACAATTAATTCATGTTAGATTGGCAATTATTAACTCCTTCATATACGTTTTTACTGGCCGTAGTATTAGTGACTTGAGCTTTCTTTGTCTCCTAGAGCGCAAAAACTTCGTGCTGACAATTAACGATGAAATTTCAGGGATATCAAATATAATGATTTGAATTATGGAGGTGATCTTGGTCAGAGTGACAAAAGACTCATAACAATAACATAGGACTGAACTCATGAATTTTCAACAAAACCCTATCGTTTATTGGTAACTAACTTAAGATTCCAAAAGTTTTAATGGGGATTAGAAACAGTTAGTGTCTCTGATGAATTCCCATAATGTATTAACACAGACAAATAGGAAATCAGAGTAGTATATCGCACAAAAATGTATCGGTTCAGCTTGTCACACTTCATAATAGTATCCAAAGAACAGGTAGCTGGAAAAAAAGTGGTATGAAAGTAGATAAAGTTATGTATGAGGATAACAAATCCGAAGATTAAGGTTAGTGGGAACATTCAACCTCTAGAAGACTCTAAAGAGTAAGTACATTTGCACCATTGGGACTGATATTGAGCCATGTCATTAAGACTTCTAAACCTCTAATTCCTATCATTTTGCGGACCCCAATCAGACAATCAGTATCATCATCATTTGTCCTTTTGGTTGCTAATGGAACATAGGGCTTCTGTAGCACGTCTCCAGTGAACTCTGTTCTTTGAAATCTTTTGAACCTGGTTCCACAACAACCCAGAAGCTCTCATTTCCTCCTCTCACGATCGCCTCCATGTCACCCTCACCACGGACACCCAACTCGTCACTTCCCATCTGGGTTCCACTCGAGCAACTGGCCTGGCACATGATGTCCCCAGTCGGCCTTCTCGGTGTATGCCCAACACCTCAGTATTAACTCGACATCATTCAGTCTATGGCAGCTATCCATTTAATACCTCAGCCTCGTAAATTGAATTGTGCCGATTCACTACATGAGCCAAGTGAGGTCAAATGAATCATTAAAGTTGAGCCCTGTATGTGTTTAGAGTAGAAAATGTTTTGCATTTTTACAGTTTGGTTACTAAGCTCAACGGGAAAAAGTTACGTTTAATTTCTGCACTCTATGTAATAAGTGATTGAATTTGACACGTTATTCTGACGGATTATCTTTTCAGACATTTGGTGGTAGATTTTTTCAGAGTAATAATATCCAATTAATTCCAAATAATTTCTTATACAATTTGGAATTCTCAGCATTATATATATATTGCAACAACAACAAAGTAGATATGTATAACCTCCTTTACAACACTTCGGATTGTGTTGTTATAATAATTTAAGTAATGTAAAGAATATTAATAACGAGAACACTTTACATTGTTAATTAAATTATTGAAATGCGATTTTTAACTGTTACAAAGTTCATATATGAGTTCTGTTCTAACAGTTTCTTCCTCACATAATATGCGTCCTAGATAAGGTACAGTCGAAATCTTGCACTTAGCTGTGCGAGTGTACATTCTGATGTAGTTTCTTCTTGTCCTCCCTGAGGAGATACATGGAGAAAGCTGTCAATGAAGTGGATGCTCAGTATCAGTTAAAATTACTCTAGCTAGTTGCTTGGTAGAATTTAAATGTCTGTCAAATATAGTGTTAATAAGTTTGGCCAGAGGCACACCAGTCACCCTACTGATGGCTTTCAAAGCCCTACACAACATAACATAGTCCTTTTTAGTAGACCAGGAAAAGTAAAATGCAGGAATTAATAAATTGTTAAAGTAGAAGTTGAATTATACCAGGCAGCCTCAGTTTCTTCGTGTAATACGTTAATCGGAAGATTTTTTTTACAAGTCAACAAGACATGAGATGACCAACAAAGATCAAGAGTGAATCTCAATCCAAGATTGTTAACACTCGATTTATTTTCTACAGAAATATCATCAATGCTGCAACAGGTGTCATTAGACTTAAGCAGCTTTACACAAGTCTTGTTTACACCTGTGGCTAAAATTACCAGCCTGATATTTAGAAGAGTTTGACTAGAAACTATTTGAGAGAGACTATTGGTCGATAAGAGACAAGAATTGATTTATTTCAGAGCAATCTAAATGAGAGTTAACTGGAATAGACACCTTCAAGTCATCATCATACTCAGTTTCCTGATCAACTTTCTAGATCACGATAAGATTTGAGCTATGAACCCTCTAGTATTTCATTCAAACTATGATTGAATGCTTGATAACCGATTGTTTAACCTATTACTTTAAGATTAATGTTCATAGTCTCCATCTCTTGTTTAACGAGTCTTGCTAGTAGGTCAAATTTCTGGACATAAGTAATGTAATGGTTAAATGTAATGTATTTCTCACTTCTCGAGATATACTGTATTAAATTAAAATACTTGATTAGTTGGAAATTTTGTTTTCTATGATATAAGGGTATTTCTGTTTTTCCATTCTCTTATAGTTTGCATCATATTTATTGGTCAGGTTAATCTACTAACGCTAAATAAAGTATCGAATTCGTTGAAATGGGCATTGAGACAGCTCCGTATACTGTTATTGAATCTTGGGGAAAAGAGGTGAGATTTATTATGATCAACGTTTGTATATATTTCAAAAAAAAAATAGGAAATTGAATTACGTCAGTATGACTCTACGGTGTGGGTTTGTACTGCAAGTCAAGGGAGTTCAATGGATAGTGTGAATAAGAAATGTTTTTGGAAATTGTTTGGTTATATTAATGGAAAAAATTCAGAAAGTTTGTAATTTATTTTTGTTTTAAAGTAAACTATTCACTTTAGAGGTTAACATACCAATGACTGCTCCAGTTACTATCGAAAGTAAACCAGATGATGAGTCTGTTATGAAAAGAAATTTTAAAATGGGTTTCTATATCCCTGAACAATTCAAATCGAATCCACCTAATCCAACTGAAGAAGGAGTATTTATTGAGAAAAGACCACCGATGAAGTTATACTGCCGGTGAGATTATTATTATTATTATTATTAGCTATCTAATGTATTACTATCTCCTACTGTTTGGATTATGATTTTACTCGGTTGATTCATCTATCATCCATCCAAATCAACATAAGACCAGGCATTACTGCATAAGCGTCCTAGTTGCCATACCTCATATCGCCATATCAAGTAAAAAGGCAGTGAAGTGGAAGATGAAGAAGGAAAAGAAATTCAGTCAAAAGAAATATAAAGTACTAAAAGACAGAAAGGAAGAATGAGAAAATGGTGAAATTTAGTGTAGCGTCGTTAAGATGAGAATAATGTGTGTATACATCTGCGCCATTGACATCGGTTCTTAGGCTTATGATCACGTAGAGTCAGTCTCCAACCACTGGTTTGTTTCTCTTGTCCTATGGATCCCAACCGGCTAGTCTTCATCGCCCCATATGGCTCAAATCAACAGTCAAACACTTCATACATTGATGTCATATTTTAGTCTGGCTGCCTCGAGCCTTATTTCAGCCTGAACCTACTTCGACCAACATTATATGATGAGGTAGACAGTGACTAGGCATACATAACACATACATAACCCTCTGAGTCGATGAAGGTTCAAAACCACCTGACGTCCCCGCTACTCATGTAGTGACATCACGGAATACGGCGTGTACTACGAAGGCAACGGTGGTCAAACGCTTGAAGCCTTCTCATGTCTTCCACGTTGAATGACAATGTTTCACAGCCATACAGTAGGACGGAGCGGACTGGTGTACAGTACATGTGATCCTTAATAGACAATCAGATATCATGGCGGCGCCACAGATTGGGTAAGTTGGCAAAATCCAGTCGAGCCTTTTGTATTTGTGTAGAGATTTCATCGGCCACTTATCCACCAGAGCTGATCCCATTACTTGACCGATTACATCCGATGACCAAGCTTAACAACTGCTGCAACTCGATCACATCTTCCTTAATAAAAATGGTTTAATTCTTCAATCTTAAGTGATGCCTATGTTGTGTTCACTGGACTGGGTGGTTTGGTCGTGAAGTCTTCGTAGTCTTTCTAGACAACATCATCAGTACTAATTCCAATATGAATTGTTAGCTATCCGTATTTCTCCGTGAGTGATTCAGTAGCCTGCTTTGACCAATTGATTTGTGATTAGTACTATCAATCATAATTAAATCACCATCTTAATGAGATGTAGAACTTCGCACACATGTTCAGAGGTTCAAGTTACCATAGTTCGCAGTAGTATACAAAGAACAAATGAATAAAAAAAGACTAGCATCAGAATAAACAAAGTTGTGTGAGGGAATAAACAGTTTGGAGATATGAGTTAATGCTGCAAACATTCAAGCTTTACAGGATGTCACTATGACCAATTTCCAACCATGCTAGCAATAATCCTCAACCACTGATTCCTATCATCTTGATGACCCCAGCCATGCAGTCCAGATCTCTCCATATGGCTGAGGTCAATAGTCAGGGACTCCATGGACTGATACCACGTCTTGGTCTGGTCACCTTGAACCCTCTACCAACCTAATCCAGCTTCCTCTAGCATGATACATCCACGTAGGTGGTAGCTTGGCATTCTCAGTAGATGTTGAAGCCACCTCAGTCATTTGTAGGACCAGGTATTATCACCACATAGCATACATGGCTCACTCCCTAGTATACATAACTGTACATGTTTATTTCGTTGCACTAAACTGTATTATTTTTCCTCATATGAGTGTGTTAGTGAGTAGTTGTTTCTCCAAATACAGTTACATTTTTGTGTTTCCTGGACTGACAAATGTTGTTTGTTCAACAGTAGTCAGGTGATTATCAATGTTATTTAAAATATTTTCTAAAATTAGCTATTTAAACAAGATCTCATGCAATGGAAGGTGAGCTTAAATCTTGTGATTTATATTCTAACCTCAAAACAAAAACTTAAGGCAGAGAGAGACACTTGAAGAGCACACTATTCAACAATAGTTGACGTCATGGAGAAAACGGAACGTACGTATCCTGACCAACAATGAACTAAATAGTTTGAAAAAAAGTGAGCACCGAGTTAGTTTGAGTCATTGTATACGCGCGGAATCACGCTCCTGTCCACCCCAAGCAAAATATTAGGCGGCATCATCCTGGAGAGACTAAAGGATGCACTGGATTCAAAATTACGACCGGAACAGGCTGGCTTCATGTGCGAACCGAATTGCAACGCTTCGCATCACCATAAAACAGAGTATAGAATGGCAGTCAACTCTCTGCTTCAACTTCATCGACTTTGAGAAGGCCTTCGACAGCGTCGACCGAAAAATAATCTGGCAACTGCTTCAACACTACGGTTTCAATGCCACAAATCCTTATCAATCTCATACAACAACTATATGAAGACGCCATATGCCAAGTAATTCACAATGGGAAGCTCAGTGATGCTTTTGAAGTGAAGACAGGGGTAAGACAAGACTGTCTACTATCACCCATGATATTCCTGATTGTAGTCGACTGGACTGGATCATGCAACAAACAGTGGGGAGCTGTGAGAAGAGGGGGATACGCTGGCTGGACTGAGGAAAAGAACCTAGAAAATTTGGATTTCCCAACGATGACTTGTGTCCAATGTCACACAAACTTGAAGATCTACAGGCGAAAACTGACAAGTTGATAGAAGAGGTTGGGCAGCGAGGACGGGACTGCAAGTGTCAGAGAGAAGACAGAGGTGATGAAGATATCCAACCAATAGCACCACCAACAACAACAACAAGCTCCAATCACCATCAACGGGAGAAACCTAAAGGAAGTATCATCTTTCACCTACCTAGGCAGCATCGTTTCAACTACAGGCAGCACAGGCACAGACGAGGATGTCAAAGTCAGGGTCGGAAAGACAGCAAGATAGGCGTTCATCAACCTGAAACCAGTGTGGAGATCTTCTGCACTCAGCATGTGGAACAAGATCGGGACTTTCAATACCAACGTCAAGTCAGTGCTTCTGTATGGTTGAGAGACTTGACGCGTTACGAAAGGGGTTTCCAACAAACTACAGACATTCATCAACAACTGCCACCTACGCTGGCTCGTTACTGAAGCTCAGATCAGATGGCCAGAATCGTAAGAATAAGTAACAATGAAATCTAGGAACGAACTAACCAAGAAAATATCGCTCAACAAACATGCAGAAGGAAGTGGAATTGGAGATTGATTGGGCATACATTGAGAAGGCCGACTGGGGACATCATGCGTCAGGCCAGGTACTCGAGTGGAACCCAGATGGGAAGCAACGAGTTGGGCATCGGAGTTGAGGATGACATGGAGGAGATCGTGTGAGGAAGAAATGAGAGCATCTGGGGTGTCGTGGAGTCAGGTTGAAACGATTGCAGAAGACAGAGTGCACTGGAGACTTGTTACTGAATCCCTATGTTCCATGAGGAACCCAAGGGACAAATAAAATAATAAACAATAATTTTGCGGCGTAATATATTAGAACGAATAACGTTTCGATGTTGCTAGGATGATTCCTTTCAAGAGTATGACTGATATTAGGTTTTCAGGTTAATATTTAAGTTTTGGTACTAAAGGCAATCTTTTCAACCATCCAATTACGTTGTGATATGGAACGAAGATCAGTCTAATACAGGGGAGTAAATAAGCAGAGTGGCTTTTTTTCAGTTAAGCAAGTAAGGTGGAACAAAAATAGAGTGGGAGGAAATTTAGTTCGACTATGAGAAGTACATTGGAGTTGTCAGTCATAAAGGAATCAGAAGGAATAGATTATCATTTTGACTGTCTAAGTTAGCCGTAGTTTTCCAGACTAGTATTTATACTAGGTGATGATTGAAGGTGAAACGGAAATTTGGACCACAGCCATATTCAAACCTCGTAGCTCACTTGGGCTCCTGTGCGGATGCCTCGATATACCTGTGTTCTAATCATAGTAAAGATGGATAATGGCTAACAGTGGAATGCGGGATGCACATTTCGTTCCATTTAGGACTCGTTGGCTGGATGTACCTGCCTCCTAGTGAGTGATGTTGTTCCCACCAGGATTCGGACTCGGGGGCAATTGCTTCAAACACCAGAGTGTTATCCACTACACTACCTAGCGGGTGGGAACGAAATCACTGACTGGGAGGCAGGTGCATCCAGCTAACGAATCCTGACTAGGAGAAAATGCGCATCCCGGACTCCTCTGCTAGGCACTATCCATCTTTAACGTTTAACTTGGTCTTCAATGGGTGAACTGAGTCGAAACAAGATACTTGTTAAAATGTGTATCAATTCGATAGACATCACTGTCAAGTGTCCCATCATTGTTTCGCATGGCCTTGTAGTCTAGGAAAGCTAGCGTTCTAAATTCTGTTTATAGTTCATAAATGATTTTTCTAAACTTTGAAGACTGGAATAGCAACGTGAAAACCTAATATCGGTCAGATTCATACTCTTGAAAAGGATCTTCTTAGCAAGATCGAAACGTCAGGGAATACTGCACGAAATATTTGTTTATTTTGTTTTTTTCTAATATACGACGCCGTGGGATTATACAAGTAAAAATACACCTTATACTATGAACTTGTATACTCTTGTAAATTCTTGCAGCGTTTGAATGATCGAGTCATACCCAATTGCGTTTATAAGTGTACATTTATGTATGATCATACATACCTAGAGAGGATCCGTTGGTAGGCAGTGGCTCAGCATGTGCGACTCATGTCCAAGCCACCTCAGTCGCAGAGGGTTCACAACCCCATCGATCGAATTATCTGTCTTGTTTGATACCATTGTACTATTATAATATTATTACATTATTTGTCGTTTGGGTTCCTAGTGGAACATAGGGCTTCAGTAGCACATCGCCATTTCACTCTCTTCTCTCCAGTCTTCTCTTTCAACCTGGCTCCACGACTCCGGGAAGCTTTCATTTCTTCCTCACACCATTTCCTCCATGTCACCCTCACCTCGGACGCCCAACTTGTCACTTACCATTTGGCTTCCACTCGACGGTCTGGCATGACGCATGATGTCC